GTGGTGAATAAAGCTCTTTCTGATTCTGATTCTAATATAACTAGCATACATGTTTCCCTTTTTGTCAGAAGAAAGCACCCCTACAACAACTTCTGAAAGTGAACCGTAGTGTTTTACTCTAGCATTACATAAAAATGTCATTTTAACATAAGTTTAGGAACTGAATAATAAAAAGGAAAAATACAACACTGCTTAGTATTTACTCTATGAATTCAATATGCACTGATTCTTATTTAAGCTATAAAAGTTATTTAGGTAAGAGCAATTAGTTATTTTCTCTTTGTGTTTTGTTTTGTTCATGGCCCCATATATTGCAAGCCGTAGCGATATGCATATTGCGATATGTATATTTGCGATATTTCGATAATTTTGATATATTGCACAGCCCTACTTGTTTATGATTGGTCAGTATTTATTAGTACCCTGAAAAGGTAGAACTTGCGGTCATCCTTTTGGCCAACTTTCTCTTGTAGTCTGCAGATCAGGACTTTCACCTGCTCAGCGCACGATGAGGTGATGAGAGGTTCAGCTGCTCTAATGTCTGACAGTAACTCATTCACATCAGTCCTAGAGAAGGAAAATGTTGTCACATAAACAGGTAGTCAGTTTTATAGTAGCGATATGCATATTGCGATATGTATATTTGCGATATTTCGATAATTTTGATATATTGCACAGCCCTACTTGTTTATGATTGGTCAGTATTTATTAGTACCCTGAAAAGGTAGAACTTGCGGTCATCCTTTTGGCCAACTTTCTCTTGTAGTCTGCAGATCAGGACTTTCACCTGCTCAGCGCACGATGAGGTGATGAGAGGTTCAGCTGCTCTAATGTCTGACAGTAACTCATTCACATCAGTCCTAGAGAAGGAAAATGTTGTCACATAAACAGGTAGTCAGTTTTATATACATATATATGTGTGTGTGTGTGTGTGTGTGTGTGAAAGAGAGAAAGTGTGTGTGTGTGAGAGAGAGAGAGTGTGTGTGTGTGTGAGAGAGAGAGAAAGTGTGTGTGTGTG